AAATTCAGAAAGGTGCCTAAATTTTTCGGCGAAATAAAAAATTTCAAATCATTCTGGAAAAATTATTTTCGGTTGCGAGGGTCAATTACAATCTTTTTTGGTCATTACACATACCCCCAAAATCCTACGCATTTTCGAGAGAGAAATTCAGAAAGATTCCTAAATTTTTCGGCCGAAACAAAAATTTCAAAACTTTCTGGAAAAATTATTTTTGGTTGCGGGTGCCAATTACAATCATTTTTGGTGAACAGACATACCCCCGAAATCCTACGCTATTTCGAGAGAAAAATTCAGAAAGATACCTAAATTTTTTTGCCGAAAAAAAATTTCAAATCGTTTTGGAAAAATTATTTTCAGTTGCGGGGGCCAATTACAATAATTTTTGGTGAATAGACCTACCCCCGAAATCCTATCTACTTTCTAGAAAAAATTTCAGAACCGGCGGAACTTTAAACGTTAATAACTTTTTAACGAAGCCTCCATCAACAAATTACTATTCTTGATTTTCCCCTTATTTTGGCCTCTAGAATCTCCCATTAAAATTTTTCCATGGGGTGGCCGGGCACCTTGCACAGAAAAATGTACTCAGGGCTCCTGAAAGACATTCCATTTAAATATGAATTCAAGAATCGAATAAAAATACAAACTAGTGTTTTATAAAGTTGTTGCACGATCTGAGAAGCGTGTTAGAAGAGTAGAAAAGTTTGTAAAGTAAAAAAGTTGCGTAGAAGACCTGCACACGACGTAGCAAAAAGGATTACCCAGCAATATCGGTGACGTACTTGTCACTCGGAGTTTCCTGGGTATTACGTAGCAGATAAGGCGTTTACTGTCGTTTAGCATACTCGATCGTCTCACCTTCGCTCGAACGAATCCCCGTGATCAAGACGACGACACGTACGCTCGCGAAGGCAATTAAAACCGTCCTACGAAGACACAGCGTCGTTGTGTAACCTCGTCAACGAGCATAAACGAAAACGTCAATGAACCGACGAGTGGAATCGCTGATTTATTCACCTTTGAAGGGGGGAAGGGGGGGGGGGGGTGGAGGTAGCCCACGGGGACTGTCGAATCGCCATCGCGCGGCTCAGACTTTAATTCGATTAATTAATTCAATTCCGGACTCGATCGATTCGAGTGTTTGTAGAAAACGATTCGACCAAATTTGGACAATTTTCTCGTAAAATATTGAACCCATAGAAATCCCCTTTGTAAATAGTTACAATTCGATCGATTAATTTAAATAGTGTGCCTAGAGAACAATGTAACCAAAGTTGGACAATTTTAAATCATTAGGCTAATAATTATAATAGAATTAAATCGATTAATTTAAGGTACGTGTTTAGAAAATGATGTAACAAAATTTTGGAGATTTTGCTTTCGTTTTTTTAAAACATTGCTACCAATGGGAATACGAGTATTATTAACTTCGTAAATAGTTATAAAAGAAATTCTTGCAACACCTACTGGGAGAATTAAAAGATCGTATCGAGGAAGCTCGACTCGTGAGTGGCGTTTAAATTGCTGGCTCGAGGGGGGTCGAAGGTTCGACAGGATTTTCGAAAGAGAAAAAGAACAGCCGAGAATCGATCTTGCACCGTCGAGCGCATCGAGTCATGAATGAACACACGTTACGAGTATCGATTGGTCGAGCAGGTTGCCGATGCGTTTGAATAAAGTTAAGGCGAGCGGTCGCTTAGTATGGATTTGCCGCCTTATGCGATTACGTATGCACGAGGAGTTGAATGTTACGAGCGTTATGACTCGTGTCTGTCATAAGACCTCATGCATGGCTTCTTTCCACGGTTCTCTGCTCTTACGCCTTCTTGCTCCTTTTCTCTCGGTTTAAACGATCATCTCGATCCATTCACCCTCTCTTATTCTTTCCATTTTTTTAGTCAGGATATTATAAAAATTTATCCAATAATCATCGACCCGTTGAAGACAATATTCCACCATTTTCTTCTTTCGTGCAGTTCTTCTCGCGCGTCGAAATTTATCTTTAGGCGCCATATTGGGTTCATACAGGGTCGAGCAAAATTTTTATTCGAATATTCGATAAACTCAACCCACAGCAATTTAAGTACTCCATTATATAAACGAACCTTTATTCTTTTCTCGAATAAAAATTTCTCTTCAGTCGCCATATTGGATCCACGCAGGGTCAGGGTAAAAATTTTTATTCAAATATCTTTATTTATAAATTTGCATCCCTCCACTGTGAAATATTTCACTCCATAAACGAACCATTTATTTTTATTTTCTCGAGTAACCAACAATCATTCGCTATATGATCGAAATTCTTTATCCATATAAGAACGTCGCGTTACACCGCGCCTTTCTCCTCTCCAAAGTTTGGAAGCTTTATGAAAAATATGTTTCCAACGTTCGAGAAGATTTTATCGGTGCAAAAATAGTTTTAAGTAAAAATCGTAGTGGAATTTCAGCTGGATTTGGTCAAGACAGAAGCGGGGCTATAAAAGTCGTCGTTCGAAAATTGCTGAATTCCCAGTAACCGGGATACGACGTCCACTTCCAGGAGACGCGATTTCCCGTCGGAAAAGTTTCTAATATACTCTTGGTGGCTTTCCTGGACGACGGGGTGGCTCGTCTGCGGATCGATCGGATCGACCAGACCCGGGGACGGTTTGTTTGAATAACTCGAGTGCGAATGTTTGCTCGCAAACTGTTGTTGCGTGATACGATTACGTGTTGGCGTAGATGTAACGAGCATTACGACGCGCGACCACCCTAAGGTATATTACAACGCGTACGGCTTCCATCGTTTCTTATTTGCTTCCCTCCTCGACGGGCGCTCCATCCCTTTTATTAACCTCGGGGTCACCGGCGAAAGGCCCTAGTCCAGTCAACGAGCTTCAAATAAAATAGACAAACAGCGAAGTTTTCGAGTTCAGCAAATATGTCTATCGACGCGCACCGTCGAACGTGCAAACAGTCCCCTCGAGGTAGAAACGAGGAATCGCTGCCATCTTGCTCGGTAGCTACTGTGCAGAGATCGAAAATTGTCGACAAATAGAATTAGCTGTGACTTTCACTCGTATAAATTATCATTATTGGTCAATTACAAGCAAAAAAGAATTATTGCATGTCTACATTGACGCCATTTTGCAAGGTAGCTACTGTGCAAACATCGAAAGTTGTCGACGAGTCGAATTAGCTGCGATTTTCACTCGTATAAATTGTCATTATCGGTCAATCACAAGCAAAAAAGAATTATTGCATGTCTATATTGCCGCCATTTTGCACGATAGCTACTGTGCAGAGATCGAAAGTTGTCGACGAGTCGAATTAGCTGTGACTTTCACTCGTATAAATTGTCATTATTGGTCAATCACAAGCAAAAAAGAATTATTGCATGTCTATATCGTCGCCATTTTGCATGGTAGCTACTGTGCAGAGATTGAAAGTTGTCTACAAGTGAAATTAACTGCGACTATCACTCGCACGAATCGTCATTATTAATCGATAACCAACAGAAAAGAATCATCGAGTCACACTGATTAATAGGAACTTAAAAGTGTGAATTTCCATATAGTCGCCATCTTGAACGATAGCTACTGTGTAGAGATCGAAAGATGTCGACGAGTCGAATCAGCAGTGATACTTATAGTTGCATGTCACTTCACTCTGATCAAGAAAAATCTAACGATTCTAAAAATAAAAGTAAAATCTGAAAAATACAAACATAAAGAGTCTTAAAAACGTAGAGGGAAGGTAAAAATAAGTTAATTCTATCCCCAAGTTTGGAAACGGTTTTAACCGGTTATAATTTCATCACCGACGACCAGAGGCGTTACCAAATTTTCTAGCCAATCTCACACGAGTCTTCCTTGACCGAAAATTCATCCGACGACAACCTCGTAACTCGCCGCTTGAATAATGTCGAGCTGCTGTTCAACATGCTCGGGGCTTATAATTAAATAAATCCCCCTAGAGTATACAACGTGTATTCGGTTGTATATCAGGAACGTCAACAAGAACCCGTCGTCCAGTCGTTTGCTGGTGTTCGTTACATTGTTGCGTGGGTGGTGGTCCTCTTGCACGAAACAATTATTTTAGCACCACTGCGTGTTTCGTTTGATTAATGGCGCAAACCTTTCCCCGCCAGTCGGCCAAACGAAATAAAATAACATTTTACGCAACAATTAAACAACGTACATTCTATTCAATTTATTCAGAATAATTATATCCTTTTCTTATAGTTACGATAGCTACTAAATTCACAAAGTTGAAACGTGTGTCAGTATCTCGAAAAAGCTTCGATCCTTTCGATTTCATTTTGCATAAACAATGGCTTCTGTCTCGGTTGGGGACGCAATCGATGTCGTGGACATCAATGTTTGAACCCGTAATACTTATTTGCAGACGTCGGTAGATCCGATGTAGAACGACTCGTACGTTCTACGTGCTCCATTATGCATGAGCCTGTGATTTCATTACGTATGTAGACGGTAACTACATTCGATTATCAGGCACAGAGTCGAAGAAGCCTGGAGTGGTCGGGTCAACTAGCGCACCTAGTTGATCAGAGTAGTCCGACCAAACGACAGATCTGGATTTGATTCTGCTTCGAGGAGAACTGATTCTTTGTATCCGTGGAATTTTCACCGGTGCATTCGTCTCTTTATTTTTCCAGTTGTCAATCCTTTCGTCCACAAAACACGTTAGATAAATCCAAGTATTTCCGGGGTCTACACCCACGGTTTCCACGACTTCCAACCAATCCAAACCTACCAAATAAAAGCCTGTGGACCGTTGAAAAATATTGTTTCGCATCACGATGCTTTGTACCCGTATTTACCGCGACATAACCGACCTAAAAGTTGTTGTACGCGTTTTCAATAATGCACGGGCGCCAATCGAAGCGAGAGCCAGCGGATCCGGGGTCCACATCCACGGCTCGCGACGACGCACGCGCGTGCGCGTAACGTTTCGCGTAACGAATCTAATATTTCAACCAACGTGATTTGTTGTTTCAGAGCTGGAACTCGGCACACAATGCGTCGTCGAAATGTCCGGACAGCAAACCATCTTGCAGCATCCCACCACGATGGACAAAATCGAACGGTGAGCGATGGTCTACAGAACTTTTTTAAACACACACACCTTTTGACCTTTAACGCCGACAGATTTATACTTGGAGTGACCCTGCGAACTCCATCGAATATCTGACAGCGTTTACAATAACAAAGGAACCGATACCTTAGAAATAAATATTATTTAAAATATTTGCAATGGTAGACGTAAAATTGAAGAGCGTTTATAATTAACGAGAGCCAACAACGCAATTAATAGAGAAAATATAGTAATAAAAGAGCCGATATATCGGAGATTCGCTGATCAATCCTTTCAACGCGAAAGGTATTTGCACTCGAGGTATTGCTTGCAACATTACTCTTGTAATTCGAAAGCAAAGTAGGGAAAGCGTGGTGAACCAGAGTTAATTTCCGCGCCTTTCAGGAGCACCGCGGTTCTCGTTCACAGGCTTTTTAAGTTCAAGGATAAAACTCCGTTGCTTTCCATTATTACGGATTTACAGCCGATATTTACGCGTGAACGAGGATAACGGTGGAAACTCGGATCGCCCGCGCGCCAGATAATTAAAACACACCGTCTTATCGCGATAGATAACGCAGGGCGTCGAACATTCGCGAAACGTAAACCAACTTCGATAAGTCTCTTTACCGTTAGGTTGACTTGTTTCGAGCAATAAATATCGACGATTATTTCGTTCGACCTTTTAACCTTTATCGTAGGAATTTTCAAAATGGCAGATTTTAATGAAATATGCGTCGAGTGGATGTACTTTTCCGCACATTTTTAGACGGTTCATTTACCATATCGGCGAGATCCCTCGAATAAAATGGCGACCGCCTGGATCCATCAAGATAAAATTTCTTTTCACCGCCCGAAGACCAGTTGCAAATTAAAAACTATCGATTTTGCTGCCAACCGCGCTCATAGCTTTCAATCCCGGAGTAATTCAAGAGCTCTGTCTTAATTAAAAAATGCCAATGAAAATTCTCGGGGAAAGAAAAATTTCGTCGGATCGAAAACTATTATTTATGTATTTTCAATATGTATTCGGTATTTGTTAGAAGAAAAAAAATAGTAGAAATAATGGCTCAAGTCGTTTGGCCGTGTCGACCAAGGCTGTCCCATTTGCAATTATTTTTTCACAAACGAACAATTCACCCACGCGTTCGATATAAGGCGCTCTTAGAACGTTCATGGGATATTTCTGTACGAAGGAGACATTAATTAGCGTTCGACGTTTCCTTGAAGAAAACGCAGTCTGACTAACGTAAACCTCGATGGTCGCTTTAAAGGGGGGGATAAAAAGGAACGAGAACCTCGTTTTAAAGTTGACCGTACACGGTAGAATTTTAATTAAGTTTCTCCTGAATTTTCGACAAGCAAAATCTTCCATTTTTGAGTTTATTTTCTCGATATAATAACGTTTACCGCGAATAAAAGTAGCCAAGCGTATATGTACGAAAAATTTAAAAAATCCCCATCGACCGAAAGGTTGATCCCCAGGGATTAAAACGTTTTGTCTCCTTCTCGTCGAACTTGCACGCCAGTTAGCGCATAATCGAACGATCCTCGAACGAACTATTCATGTAGGATGCATCGTATCAACTCGCGGCGGTCGAAATTATTCAACGAGCCCGTCCGCTTTGGAATAATAATTCAACGGGTTGTTCGATGACCGGCCTTCTGTTAGTCATCAGTCGCTGAAGTATCCATCTGATAACTGCTCTCTGCCAGTTATTATTCATCGTACATTTCTGTCTCAAAGTCTGAATACGTTCAACTTGTTAGTCATCCAACGAACTAAAGCTTGCTCTACTAAACGATTCCACGAATGCGATATAAATTACATTAAAGAATGAAAAAACTTTAATTCAACTAAAACAACCTTCGACTGAGTAATTTTTCAGTGCGACAAGTGACATTAGCTGTGACTTTCATTTGTACGAATCGTTATTATTGGTAGATCACAAGCTAAAAAGAATTATTGCATGCCTATATCGTCGCCATCTTGCAAGGTAGCTAATGTGCAAACATCAAAAGTTGTCGACGAGTCGAATTAGCTGCGATTTTCACTCGTATAAATTGTCGTTATTGGTCAATCACAAGCACAAAAGAATTATTGCATGTCTATATCATCGCCATTTTGCATGGTAGCTACTGTGCAAACATCGAAAGTTGTCGACGAGTCGAATTAGCTGCGATTTTCACTCGTACGAATTGCCATTATTAATCGATGACCAACAGAAAAGAATCATCGAGTCACACTGATTAATAGGAACTTGAAAGCGGGAATTTCCATATAGTCGCCATCTTGAACGATATAACTACTGTGCAAAGATAGAAAGTTGTCGACGAGTCGAATTAGCTGCGATTTTAACTCTTACGAATTATTAAGAATGCAGTGTAAAATTGACTGTTGGTACGTATTCTAGTTTTTAAATAAATAAAAAAGTTGTTCGAACGTTGTGATTAATTTCTGGTGTCGTTTGCAACAGCTGCGTCTGACGTAACAGCGTACGATTTCAAACAGATACGATGTTACGAACGAATCTGCGATAGCAATTTTTAACGGCTAGCAGATGCGTTCGTTTTTTTGCTTCTGCAGGGATCCGAACGTCCACGCCAAGGTAACATGATACTCTGGCACGAATGTTTTTAAACGAGCGCATCCACGCAACTCTGCTATCGATCTCACTTTCTATGTATTTTCTCCGTTTTAACTGCGCTCTAAGAAGCTACGTGAAAAGTTTTATAACATCGAATTTCTTTAGATTTTATTTTACAATTTCGTGGACCGACTTGAATTCTGAAACGGTCGACCGGTTCGAAATATCGTTCGAAATGTTATTTCGCCAGTGTCCAGGCCTGCTCGTGAATCAGACGGTAGACACAACGTTTGAAAACTGACTTGGAAAGTCGCGGCACACGCTCTCACGTTACGCTTCAACGTCGGCCAAGAGCACAATAACGCGCCGACAAATACGGTAGAAAGTTCTGAACTGTTCGCGAGCGTACGTCTAATTTTAATTTATGAAAGAATATTCGGAACGGTGGTTCTTAAATGGAACAATCTGTGCGGAATATTCCCTCGTATTTCGGACTAGCAACCTCGTGGACCGTTTCCACTTTTAACAATCGCTGTTGTAGTTTCTACGCGTGACGCTGGTACTAAGTACCACGAGACTTTTAGGAGAACGTTTCATTCTCCCTCTGTGGATCCTTTATACAGGGTGTTCGGCCACCCTTGGGAAAAATTTTAATGGAAGATTCTGGAGACCAAAATAAGACGAAAATCGAGAATATTAATTGATATGAGGCTCTTGATTGAGGCCTCGTTAAAAAGTTATTAACAAATTAAATTAAACAATTTCAAATCGTTCTGGAAAAATTATTTTTGATTATGGGGGTCAATTATAAGCATTTTTGGTGAATATACATACCCTCGAATTCCTGCGTATTTTCGAGAACAAAATTCGAGTAGTTACTGAAATTTTTAGACTAAATTAAAAAATTTCAAATCATGCTAAACAAAATTATATTTAGTTACAGGGGTTAATTACAAGCATTTTTGGTGAATGAACATACCCCCGAATTCCCACGCGTTTTCGAGAAAAAAATTCCTTACCGAAAATATAATTTCTGGCCAGAAATGTTAGCCTGAAATTTCATGCGTATCTTTAAAACATCATAACTCCTGAACGAATTGGAGGATTTTAATTTTTCAAAATGCAAACGACGAGTACTTTAGTGGAGAATATGTAGAAATCCTAACAATATTGAAAAAGTTGTTCCTCGACACCGTAAAGTGAGACAAACACCCTAAAACTGGCCCAATTTTCAAACGGCCATAACTCCCACAATAGTAAAGGTATCTCATTGAAATTTTTTTCTGAAGCAGAGCCCATGGGTGTCTACAAAAAAGTATTAGACAACTTTTCTGTAGAGCGTCAAACAAATTTATTAAATGAAAAGGAAATTTTTAAGAAAAATCGACAGGGGGAAAAATCTAAATTTTTCGTGCGAAAAAAAAAAATTCAAATCGTTCTGGAAAAATTATTTTCAGTTGCGGGGGTCAATTACAATCATTTTTAGTGAATAGACGTATCATCGAAATCCTACTCGTTTTTAAGAAAAAAATTCACGAATGTGAACAAATTTTTCAACAAAATTAAAAAATTTCAAATCGTTCTAAAAAAATTATTTGTGGTTGCAGAGGTCAATTACAGTCATTATTGATCAATAGATATACCCCCGAAATCCTGCACACTTTCGAGAAAAAAATTCAGTACGGGCAGAACTTCAAACATTAATAACTTTTTAAGGAAGCCTTCATCAACAAATTAGTATTCTTGATTTTCGTCTTATTTTGGCCTCTAGAATCTTACATTAAAATTTTTTCCAGGGATGGCCGAACACCCTGTATAATAATGAATGAACAAGTAAAATGACTATGGGGAAAGTAGCTTATTAACTTTTTAATGTTGAATTTGTATATTTACTCGAGGAAACATTAGTCGAAAGGAAGACCTTACTGTTTGAGGGCGTTTGAGATTGTTTGAACGATACAATATTCCAGATACAGAGAATACAAAGCAGATCGTTTCTCGTTTCTGTTTTGCGTAACTCGCGGTCCTCTCGAGCTTCAACTTTACTATCTGTTCAAACTTTTGCAAAATGCAACGCGTTGCCCCCGCGTTTGTCCCACTTCGGTTCTTCAAAACTATACTCGACGTACAAAGTCTCGGACAGGTTGATAGCGTAGCATAATATTAATGTTAACGTTTTCTTGGGAAGCACCATTAATCTTCCATGGTCTGAATCCGTCGCTGTGAAGCAGTTCGATTTCAACTGGCGCTCTGTTGTGTCTGTTTGTCTTCGCCCGATATGCCGTAAGAATTAATTTCACGATAGCTAATTTCGCAATAAAAGTGGAAAGCGAACGTACCAGCTAGCCGCAGAAAGTTCACTCGTATTAATCTTAACAGTGAACGCGCACTTCGCTGTGTTTCTGTTTCATGTTCGCCGACGAA